GCCCCAGTTTTATCACCTTTTAAGGAAAGATTCCTCTCTTATATGATCTACCAGAAAACTAAAGCAAAATCAGGGTGCAGCTTGGTGGTAGAGTGCCTGCCTAATCTGTGAGACCCTGGGTTTGATCCTCAGCACCATAAAAACAAAATGTGTACTCCTTACTTAGCTCATTCATGGGTCTAATACAATTGTTGATAATCAGATGAGGACAGTGAAAGTAAATACAAAAATATTTTTTTCTTTTTTATACTGGAGATTGAATCCAGAGGAGCTTAACCACTGAGCCAAATTCTCAGCATTTTTTGTTTTATTTTATTTTATTTTATTTTTTTGAGACAGGGTCTTGCTAAATTGCTTAGGGCCTAAGTTACTGAGGCTGATCTTGAACTTGCAATCCTCCTGCCTCAGCCTCCCAAGTCACTGGGATTATAGGTCTGTACCACCATCTATGACTGGCCTAAATACTATGATCTTAAGAAAAATTGAGAAAGTATTTCAACGGTATATGAAAAGATAAGAAACCATGACTTGTTAAAACAAATAAAAAAGAAAAAGAAAAAGAAACCATTACTAAATTGGATTTATTCTAAGAATGCAAGGGGATTCTGTTGCCAGGCACTACTGGTAGCACACACCTGTAATCCCAGTGGTTTGGGAGGCTAAGGCAGGAGAATTGCAAGTTCAAAGCCAACCTCAGTAATTTTACAAGGGGATGATACAGCTCAGTCGTTAAGTGCTCCTGGGTTTAATTCCACTACCAAATAAATAAATAAAATAAAAAATATARAAATTTTACAAATGTCATTCACCACCATTGACCACTGAAAGATTATAGAAGAAATCACACATAATAATTTTTCAAAAATCAGTAAATAATTTGGGAAAATTCAACATCCATTTTTCCTTCCCAGTGCTAGGGTTATAATCCAGGGTGTCACACATGCTGGGCAAATTCTCTACCATTGAGCTGCATCCTCAGACCTCAACACCCTTTTTCTTTTCCAATATTCATTTTTTTATTATAATTTTTTTTTAGTTGCAGTTGGACACAATACCTTTGTTTTATTTTTATTTATTTTTATGCAGTGCTGAGGATCGAACCCAGCACCTTGCATGTGCTAGGCAAGTGCTCTACCACTGAGCCCTAACCCAAGCCCCTCAAATCCATTCTTAATAAAAAAATTGTATGTRAGGCTGGGTGTGGTGGCATATGCCAGTAATCCCAGAAGCTCAGGGGACTAAGGCAGAAGGACCTCAAGTTCAAGGCCAGCCTTGGCAATTTGGAGAGACCCTATCTCAAAATAAAAAATGGCTGGAGATATACAGTAGGTAAAGCACCCCAGTTCCATCCCTAGCCCTGGGGTGTGGGGAATCTACAGATAAATTATTGGAAATCAGAGTTCAGCATCATGGCTGGTTATAAAGTCAATATACAAAAATCAAGCCAGCCAGGTATAGCTACTCAGGAGGCTGAGGCAGGAGGATTGCAAGTTTGAGGACAGCCTCAGCAACTTTGCAAGACCCTCAGAAACTTAGAGAGACCCTGTTTCAAAAAAATAAAAAGGGCTGGGGTAAAGTGCTCTTGGGCTCAATTCCCAGTACCAAATCAAACCAAACATCAATGCCTTTCTATATTCCTGCAATAAAGAGAAGAATATCTAGCTTTTTAAAAGATAACAATATGGGCTGGGGATGTGGCTCAAGYGGTAGCGCGCTCGCCTGGCATGCGTGCGGCCCAGGTTCGATTCTCAGCACCACATACCAACAAAGATGTTGTGTCAGCCGAAAACTAAAAAATAAATATTAAAAATTCTCTCTGTCTCTCTCTGTCTCTCTCTCTCTCTAACCTCTCTATTTAAAAAGAAATAAATAAAATAAAATAAAATAAAAGATAACAATAAAATCTCAAGAGTACATAGGAGTATACAGGAATAAACCTTATAAAAACGGCAAGCTATTCACATGCAAAAAACAATAAATGCTAGAACAACTGATTGGCCATATAGGTAAAAGTAAAATTGGATCACTCAAATCAATGCTACATGGATAAAATCACTTAAATATAAAGAGCAACACTTAAAAAGTTTAAGAAAAGGCAGATGGATTTTTCATCTTAGAATAGGGATGGATYTACTTTTTCTTTTTGTCTGGGACTGGGTTTGAAACCAAGGTTTCACCCATGCTGGGCAAGCCCTRTAGTACTGAGCTGTATCTCCAGCCCAGGGAAGGATTTTCTTTTTTATACTGGGAATCTGGAGATTTATCTCAGGGGGCAGTTTACCACTGRGCTACATCGGCTCTTTTTTATTTTTATTTTGAGGCAGGGTCTTGCTAAGTTGTTGAGGTCTCATAAATGGTCAAGGCTGACCTCAAACTTGCAAATCTCCTGCCTCAGCCTCCCAAGTTGCTGGAGTTACAGGCATGTGCCCTTACCTGGCAAGATTAATATGTGTGACKACATTAACATTAAGAACTTGTGGGGGGGTCAGGCTGGCGTTGTGGCTCAGCGGTAGAGTGCTCACTTAGCATGTGCAAGGCCCTGGGTTCGATCCTCAGCACCACATAAAAATAAATAAAGATATTGTGTCCAACCAACCAAAAAAAAAAAAAAAAAAAAAAAAAGAACTTATGGGGGGAGGGCGCTGGGGATATAGTTCTGTGGAAGAGCAGTTGTCTATATGCACAAAGCCCTGGTTTCAATCCCTAGCATCACAAATGCTGCTGCTGCTATTGATAATAGTAGTACTGCTCGTCATAATAATAACAATAATGAAGAATTAGGTTCGTAAACATTTTGTAGAAAATGAAGACAAGCCACAAACTGAGATAAAAACACTGGCAATATATATACCATAAATAACTGATATTCAGAATATGTAAAGAACCCTTACACATTGTTAAATGTGTAACAAGGAAATGCAAATCCAGTTCATAATGAGATGCTACTTTGATTTACCARATTCACAAAAATAATAAAATATTATAACACCAAAGTGTGGAAGAGGATGAAGATCCACCGGATCTTTCATACTGATTGATGGTGGAGTGTTAAAGAATATAATTATTTTGAAAATTAATTTGGTTTTATCTCATAAAAGTTGAAATTCATAGGGGCTGGGGATGTGGCTTAGTGGCAGAGCACTTGCTTGAGGCCCTGGATTCAATCCCAGTCACCTCAAAAGCTGAACCTTTACTTACCATAAAATCTAACAATCTCCCTTTTTTAATTTTATTTTATTATTTATTTTATTTATTTATTTATTTATTTTATTTTTTTATTTTATTTTTTATTTGTACACAATACCTTTATGTTTTTTATTTATTTTTATGTGGTGCTGAGGATCCAACCCAGGGCCTCACACATGCTAGGCAAGCACTCTACCGCCGAGCCACAACTCTAACCCTAACAATCTTATTCCTAGGAGTATACCTGAGAGAAACTTTTTTTTTTTTTTTTTTTTGGTACCAGGGATTGAACCCAGGGGCATTTAACTACTGAGCCACATCCTCAGCTCTTTTTTATATTTTATTTAGAGACAGGGCCTCACCAAGTTGCTCAGGGCCTTGCTAAATTGCTGAGGCTCGCTTTGAACTTGAGATCCTCCTGTCATAGCCTCCCAAGCCACTGGAATTAAAGGCATGCACCACCACACCCAGCCTTAGAGAAACTATCTTATCTGTAAACCATAAGATGGGCAAAAGAATATTCATGGCAGCACCATTTGTAATAGTTTTTTAAAAAACTAGAAATAGGGGCTGGGTAGATATAGCTCAGTTGGTGGAATGCCTGACTCCATGCACAAGGCTCTGGGCTCAATCCCTAGCACCACACACACAAACACACACACACACACACACAAAAAAAAAAAAAAAAAAAAAAAAAAGCTAGAAACAACTAAAACATCCAACATCAGGAAACCAGATACATAAACTGTGGTAAATTCCCTGCAAAGAATATTATACATTATAGAAAATGTACATCTAGACTGGAGTTGTGGCTCAGTGTTGTGGCTCAATGGTAGCATGCGTGAGGCACGAGTTCAATCCCCAGCACCACATAAAAAAAAWAAWWAAATAAAATAAAGGTATTGTGCTCATCTACAACTAAAAAAATTTAAAAAAAAAAGAAAGAAAATGCCAATCTACACACAACATGGATGAATATTAGAAACAATGTTAATTGAAAACACCCAAGTCACTGGGCACAATGGCACAAGCCTATAATCCCAGAAACTAGGGAGGCTGAAGAAGGAGGATCACAAGTTCAAGGCCAGCCTTACCAATTTAGGGAGGCCCTAAACAACTGAGTGAGACCCTATCTAAAAATTAAAAAAAAAAAAAAGAAAAAAAGCTGGGGTTGTGCTCAGTGTCAGAGCACTTGTCTAGCATTTGTGAGGCACTGGGATGATTCTCAGCACTACATATAATTAAGTGAATAAAAATGGAGGCCCATCAACAGCTAGGAAAAAAAAAAAGGGAGGCTGAAGATGTAGCTTAATGATAGAGCGCTCCTGGGTTCAGTCCCTAGTAACAAACAAACAAAACAAAACAAAAAACACATATGCTACCATTTTTTAAACACTTTTTTGTAGTTGCAGATGGACAGCATACCTTTATTTTATTTATTTTTTAAAATGCAGTGCTTAGGCTCGAACCCAGTGTATTACATGTGCTAGGCAAGCACTCTGCCACTAAGCAGCACCCCCAGCTCCATGCTACCATTTTTATAAAGCTCAAAAAGAAGCAAAAAGAAATTTACTTTTGGACATAYTACTTATTATGAAACCTTAAAAACAAGAGAATCACAAACATAAAATTCAAGATAGTGGTTACCTCTGGGGTGGGAAAAAATGGTAGAATAGGAAGGAGAAGAAACACACTAACTTATTGGCAATATTTTAGTGCCTGGGCTAGTGTGTGGGGTGTTCATTATTAAGTTTTATAACACACATGTTATGTATTATTTTTGGCATGTATCAAAGACAAAAAGACACACTCCTACACACGTACAAATCCACACAGAGGTATTCACTGACACACCTAAAAGACTCATGAACAGAGTCTCATGGACTCAAAACACATATAGGGTCCATTCTTAGAGACTGTGATTACCACATTCTCAAGATTCAAAGAGAAACACTGACACACTAACATAAATAAACTGACCCACACATTGACTCACATACATTCCTACCAGACCTTTGACCTACAGGGAGAAAGTTCCTCTGGAGTACACTGGATCACTGGGAGACTGCAAATTGAATTTCTGGGCCTCTGGATTTGGATTGATGGATGTCCCAGAGYACATGCCCCAGTCCCAGACTCCTCAGGCACCTACCTGATTCCTGAGAGATCACTGTCCGTGGGATCAGCTTCTTGATCTAGACAGAACAGCATCAGAATCAAAGAGGAGCCCCACCAGTCTATTCCACTCTCATTTGGGGTAACCATCCAGTTGGGCTCAGGAAGTGTCACACCCTTTAGCTGTTTTTCAGGAAGCTTCATGCCCCTCTGTGTCCACTGAGTGCCATGACCCCTAACTTTGTCAAAATAGTTTGCCTCCTGCCACCCGGATGTCCAGCTCTGTACTCACTGGGGGTGGTGGGAGGACAAAGTTGTCTGGGAAAACGCCTCTTCTGCCTTCACACTCTCCTTCCCACCAGCCCTTATCCTCTGTGTTCTGAGAAAGAAACAGCATGGCGGGAAGATGAGCACCCACCTCCCCGCCCCCCAGGCTCCTGTCCTGGGTCTCAATGTCCCCTTCCCTGAGACCTCCCCTCCCCGTTCCTCTCACACCTTCTTCAGTACTTTCACCATGTCCCCCTTTTGAAGTGCCAATTCATCTGGGGCCTCAGGTTGGTAGTCAAACAGGACCCTGCAGATCTCAGGATGAAAGACTGAGGGAAGGTCAGTTCGCTGTAGTCAGCCCTCTCCCCTCAGTCAGCAGCTCCCTCCTCCATCAGCCTAGGAGGTTCCCCCTCCCCCAAGTCAGAGTGGCTTGGAGAGGGGGGCTCTGGCTGGGAGCTCACCTGTCTGCAGGTATTCTGGAGAGCTGTTACAGGCCTGGCTGTTCAGCTAGTGGGGTCAGAGGGGCAGAAAATGATGAGCCTCCTGCCCTTCCAAGAGGAACCCACCACCTCTATGCACATTCTGAGCAAATTTACCTTGGGAGGCTGCTGGGATCCAGGGCTGATGGAAGACATGTCTGGGTTGCCAAGGCCTGGTGGGGGACAATAAAGTTAGGAGGGTGAGAATTCAGTTAGGTCAGGGGAAGGGACCAAAGGGGTTATAGGGTCAGGATGTGTGGATCACAGGCTCATGCCACCAGGAGGGTCATTGGAGATTGCAATCTGATCACAGGGTCGAGATCTCACTTGGGGGCCCATTGCCCAGCAACTCCACAAAGTTGGATGGGAAGGCGCCCAGCTGCCCGTTCTTCTTCCCCAGCCACCAGCCGTCCTCAATCTGGGGAGGGGGAGAGGATGCAGGGGTTCTGCCAAGTGTCTCTAGAAATCTTACMCCCTCCATTCAGCCGGAGGACCTGCTCCTGCCCCTGCTCCCTTACTTTTCCATCTCTGCGCCCCTCATCATTCCCATCGCCCTCACCCTCACTTCACCCAAATTTCCTCACTCTTGCCCCATCATCTCTCCCAAACCCTCTTATCTCATTCCCTCACCTCCTTTATCATTTCGACAATCTCCCCAGCTTGCAGCTTCAGCTCGTCTGCCTGCTCCGGGCTGTAGTTGAAGTTCACTTTGCACCATCTTTGAGGGCCCCGAGATTTGGCGGGGTGACCTAGTTCGGAGGTTAGCTTGAGCAGGGTGCCCCAGTAAGCTGAGCTGGGGGACGGATCACACGCGCAACGTTTAGTACCTTCTGGCCCCGCCCTCAGGTGGAGCATTGTCCTTGGAACCAATCACAGGCCACWAATCGGCCCTACGGCCCCTCCCAGAGCCACGCCCGCCTCCACGCTGCGCCCGCAGCTCGCGCCCACCCGCCCGGAGCTCACCTCGGCTGCGCGCGCAGCGCGGTCTCCGGGTCTCCCCGGCGTCCCGCATAGCCACTGGAATCTCCTGAGGACGAGGGCTGGCTTTAAGCTCCCGAGCGGCAAACACCGACAACCCCGCCCCAGCCCGCTCCCGACCCGGCCTCACCTGCACCAGGCGCTTGGGGAAGAGGCCACAATGGCCCCTCAGCTCTCCCAGCAACCAGCCCCTTCCTGGCCCCTCGCGCACCTGCCGGACGATGTCCCCGGGGGCCAAACTCAGCTCATCCTCCTTCTGCGCGTGGTATTCAGCCAGGACCAGGACCTCTGCAGATGCAGGACCGGATCGGGGCGCGGCTCAGAAAAGCCTCATGGAAGATAAACTGGCCCAGGCGGGCKCACCCCCAAACGAGTCCAAGGCTCGGGGTAGAGGTCAAGCGGGAGAATGGGGGTGATGTAGGCGTGCAACGCCCCCCTTAGGTTGTACAGAAGGCCACCCAAACCCTCCGCACATACCCATGGCTTCCAGGGCTCCCAGAGCCTAGCCCGTCCCGCAGGCGAGTACTGGCAGAGTGGGACGGGCTGCGAGACTGGAGCCTTGGAGGCGGAGACGCGAGCCGTAGGTCGGGCTCCAGATGCAGAGTGGGCGTGGGAGGGGGCGGCCTGGCTCAGCTGGTTCGGCCCCTACCCTGTAAGGACTCCAGGGTCTCTAGACTGCTGATGGGTCACAGCTCCTCCCGCTCTTTCCCGGCCACGCGAATTCTAGTCCTTCTCCTAGCTTTGACCGGGAAGCTCCCACCCAGCATTTACACAGCCTTCTCAGGGCCAACCTCTACTGGCTCCCAAGCTTTTAGCTGCAGGGCAAAAGGTGGGGAGAGGCACATGCCCAGGGTGGAGCCCGCCAGCGGAAAGCGACCGCTCGAAACCGGACCCTGGATGGAGGAGAGGCTGCTCCAGTCCGGAAAGCCTATTTATTGCTCGCCTATTTCAAACCTCCGCCTTCCTGCAAGGTGCACTCTTCCCCGCCACCCCCTATGGAAGGAGAACCGAAGATCCCATGCTTCGGGCTCTATTTGGGTTTCGAAAACAACTCCAGATACTCCCTTGAGGAAGTCAAGAACATCTTTTATTAAGCATACGATCAAGCCCAGAGCCGAATGTAAAAGTTTGGGCCCACCTATAAACCAGCCCCTTGTGAATTAGGCTTTCAGGTTATCTTCCTGCACCGTTGAGAAGGCCGAGTTGTTAACCCAGCCCTTGAATTCTGCCCCACCGAGGAAACATAAGTCCTTGCTCGTGACACATCGGTTTCCCCAGATATAAAAATCGAACACCAGAGAAACGCCGCGGGGAACGTAGAAATCAAGCTTTAAAGGATAGAAACTGACTCCTTCAGGAGGAAGAAGGGGACCCAGAGTTGGTAACCAAGTGAGTGAGTGTCCTGCTCCTGTTATACATTTTAGATTTTCTTTGTTCTCCTGCCCGACCCTGCATTGCCCCTTCCTCTCCTCATCCCAGGAACGTGACCCGTGGGCCAAAAGGTGAGAGGCAAACGGGTGGGGGATGGGCCAGACAGCGGAGATTCTGGCAAGAAGGTGATAACCCAGGAGACAGTAATTAACAGGTCCTATAACTCCCTGCAGGAACAATTCCTGGGGCAGGTTAAGGTAAGCCACTGGTAGGATCTGCAGGAGGAAAGGGCTTTGGATATTCAACATCTGATTTCCTTTCAACACTATAATGGGGGAAAAAAATCTGATTCTTCAGGTGTCCAAGGCACAGGATGAAGCAAAACCACTGGGATGGGAATATGGAGTTACTACTGGGTGGAGAAATGTCAGAGTCCCGGAAAGGGAAGGGGCTGAGTCACAATCTGGGTCCAACCCCCACAGGCTTCTTTTTTCTTTCAGGTTTACTGAAACTATTGTGGGAGGTTATCTACMACCCCCAGGAACACACACACACACAGGCAACAATGAACACAGTCCATGCACATCTGCCACTTCATTTATTGTTTTTATTTGCAGGAGGAGTTGAAACAAATTTTAAGGGTGTTTTTTCTTTTTCCCCTAAACATGAATCATTCAAGTAAAACCAACTTAACCATAGAAATGTAGCAAAGTAAGGAGAAAGTAGCACAACAACCCAAGAGGCAAAGGTTGGGGGGAAGAGGAGGTGCAGTCCGCATATAACATATGCACAAATGCCATATGATTCACCTGCTCAGGACCGCCTCCCCAGAAGGCAAGAACAAGGACCCATTTTAAGAGGATGTTTTCCCCCCAAATATCTGAGAATGTTTCAACTTAAAGCTTAAGATTAAAAAAAGGAAAAAAAAAAAAAAACCAAAAAACACACAACCCCACAAACCACCCAGCCATAACCACCTTCCTTAATCGATCATAGGAGTTTCTTTTCATTTTATAAAAAGATTAATAAAAAATATTGAAAAAATTATTTTCTCATCTTATATTTGTAAAGATAATAGAATTCAGAAGTTTCTTAGAAAACAGACCAGAAACTGCCCTCCAGTTTCCACCCGTTGCTGAGGACCAGCAGGACTAGAAAGTTTGGAATACTGGAGCTGCTGGTGGAAATGGGAAGCCCAGCCCAGCTCAGAAGAAATCAGAAAATATAGGAGCAAGGGAGCATGGGGAGTGGTTTAGAAGCAACTCCATGTGATACATGGCTGCGCAGAAAAGGGGAACACAAGGTGATCAGAAAGGCCTTAAACTCCTCCTTGACATACAAAACAGGTTTTTACAAAGATCCAAGCAGTTTGGTCCCAAACTGAGGTGAACACTTCAATGTTTATTCACATGCTTTGTTTTCTCTTTTTAAGAATCAAAAGTTGCCCAAATGAAATCTTTCTGCTAATATTACTACATATGCCTAAAAAAAAAAAAAAAAAAAAGAAAGAAAAGACTTTCAAAATCAGGACGAGGGAGAAGAGACTGCAAATCATCAAATTAGTCCTCTCAGCTCCAAATGAAATTGAATTAAGAACAAAACTGTTGGGTTTCTAATAGGGAACAAACCAAAATCCAAGCATTGCTCTCCCTCCCGACCCCAGCCCCACCCTACACACCAACAACAAATGAAACACAGCTAGAGCCCAATGTGTTGTGTTCTGCTCCAGAGCTGGGCCTGACCCCAGGGCTCTGGAGGCCTCCTCTGACCAGTGGGACGCTGCGCCAGGGATACTTTCTGCTGTAGGAGGATTCTTCATGGCTGGTGAGGTGGGGTGGGATTTTCAGAATCTTCACGGCTCCTCTATCTAGCTCCTCACCAGCCCTCTTCCCAGCGCCTCTCTCCCCTGGGCAAGGGCTCCTGTCAGAAGTGGCCCCTACTCAGTTGTGGGCTGTAAATTGTCCTTTTCTTCTCGGTTCTCTGTCCCACTCTCATCATCTTCAATTTCCCCTTCCTCCCCACTGAACTTGTCATGGGCCCATTTGGGGCTGGTACTGGATTTCCGGAACATGAATCTGCCCCGACCCCGGGGGAAGGCTCCTCGGCCCCGGCCCCGGCTCACCCACTTGTCACTGCCTTCACCTTCACGGTCATCATGCTGAAAGAAAAGAGAACTGCCATCAGCACCAGAGCTCTTGCCTCTGCACCCACCCAATACAAACCCAGTCTTTTCATCCTTTTCTCCCTGACCCACTGCTCCAAAAATGTCACTTCTTCAGATCCAAGAGAATGCTAGTGGGGTGCCTTAGGAATTCTGAGACAGTTTGAACACTATAATGACGATGACCATGACAAAACCTTCATCAAGCACTGAAGATGCTGACATGCGTTACTTAATCCTCAYATCCATCTACCCTATCACTATCACACCTCCACTATGCAATGAGACAACAGGCTTAGAACTGTAACTATTATGTAGAGTTACGTAATACACCATCTCTAAAAGATTGAGTCTGAGAAAGTCAATTATACCAAAATGTGAAATGTTGTCAGAACTAGTTGTTAGCTAAGAAAGGAAGCACTTAGCATGAGCAAGGCCCTGGGCTTGACTGGTTGACAAATAAAACATTCTGAGGGCTGAGGCTGTAGCTCAGTGGCAGAGCACTTGCCTAGCACATGTGAGGCACTGGGTTTAGCACCACATAAAAATAAATAAAATAAAGGCATGCTTAATTGATTTCCAAGCTGTGTAACTGATAGGGCAAGGTCATGCCAGCCATTCTGATGGGTGATGGAGATCCAACTGCAAATTTCCCTTGGTTACAACACTAAGTCATACCTACTTGGATGTGGGCCTGGTGAGACAAAGGAAGGTCAAGAGAGCTCACTCACTGTCAGATAACACTGCCTAGCAAGGGCCCAACATGAGAGAGGCCCAGAAGAACAGGGAAATATAACCAACAGCTTAGATGAGAGAAGCATTTCATTTTGGAGACAGATTCTTTTCCTCAAAGAGATCATGAACTATTTTTCTGTCAATCTTGCACTGCAGCGTGACAGAAGCTAGGGATGACTGGGCAGTAAAGAAAAATTCACAGACTTAAAAAAAGCAAGAGTGGGGCTGGGGACGTGGTTCAAGCGGTGGCGCGCTCGCCTGACATGCGTGCGGCCCGGGTTCTATCCTCAGCACCACATACAAAGATGTTGTGTCAGCTGAAAACTAAAAAATAAATATTAAAATTCATTCTCTCTCTCTTAAAAAAAAAAAAAGCAAGAGCAACAATGCTTGCTTATCCTGGAATCCATAAACATCTATAATAAACCCTATGGAAACCAGGACTGATTGACCTCTCTAGAGAACAGCCATGTAGTTTAGCACTACTGTGTTCTATGCCGGTGGACACATTTAATCGCAAGGTTACAGACCAACAAGGGCTTAGGAATCAGCTACTCTGTGTGTCAAAGCCCTCTGGCCTTTCATGGTTAGCCCCAGATACCTACCAAGTAATACTTCTTGCTTTTGGGTGTGTACTCTGGATCCCATTCCTCTTCCCGGTTTCTCTTTTGAAAATCATTGTTACTGTTGTTGTTATTGTTACCAGAGTAGCTGCCTCTACCCCAGCCTCTCCCTCTGGCTCGAAATTGCTGTGGCAATAAACAGAGGGGAAAGAACAAAGGTTCAAGTCAGGAATAAATTCCTGTACTCTATTCAAATACTATTGGCACAGAACAGACAGCTATCCTCCAGTCATGAGTGTGGTTCAACTGGTTTCTGGCCATTCCCTCTGCACATTCCAAGTCTATAGCCCAGAGGATACACACAGCCCAGGGCTCCCAGAAACAGAAGGATCCAAAGTAAGTGGGGAAATTCTGAAATGGGAAGCTATGGGGCTTTCTGACCGATTATGAATAGCAAAACTAAATGGAAAGCATGAGGAATCAGGTATGAAAACTAAAGAATCTGGGGTCTATAAACTGGATTGCTTCTATCAGAGACACAAAACTGGTATTCTGAAGAAACCTATTCTGGTGGGAGTCAGAGGCTCAGAGAAGGGGAAGGTCTTACAAAGGTTCCTCGAGCTCTGCCACCGCCTCTTTCACTTGGACCCACAAAGTCCTTGGTCCCCAGTCTTGATTTGTCAAAGCCTGTGGCACTCTCCTCTCGTTCCTCTGCCTC